CTTGAGCCCGAGCTCTACATGGCTGCTACAGCCAGAAGGATTTTCTGTTCTCCTCTGGGTGTCCACAAGAAGAGCTTTTGGCCAGCAGATGTCCTGGGCTCCACTCACTACTTCCATCACTCCTGCAAAACGTGATGGAGGAAGAAATATCCCTGCCAGGGCAGAGCAGCTGCATTGCCATGGAAAATTCTCAAGGAGTATCACTGAAAAAAGGTTGAAAGACATTTCAGAACATTTCTCATGTGGGACCTGAGCATCAGAAGATTGTCTGCTGTGTTAGCCCCACCCCTGGAAGTGCTCAAGGCCAGGCCAGACAGGGCTCAGAGCAATCTGGTCTAGCAGAAGGTGTTCCTGCCCATGCAGGGGTGTTGGAACCAGACGATCTTTGAAGGTCCTTTTCAAYCCATTCTGTGACCCCATGACACACCACATGCCACAGCCTGTCCCCTGCTCATAGCCATAAATCAGCTCCCCGATTTGGGAGAAAAAAAGCAGCATCCACATTTCCAACAGCAGCCCTGGTCCTGGCCACTGCATGCAGGGGCACAGGCAGAGGTGCAGACATAGGTGCAAGCAGCCTGTGACACATCGCCCCTGCCCTCTCCCCTTCTTCCAGCTCAGCAAAACTTTCTATTCCTTGTGCTTCCACAGTTGCCTCGTTTCATATTTTTCCTTAGCAAAGACAGCCTCTTTGGCTTTGTGCCTMGTCTGGTCCTGACACAGCATCACTCCATCTCCGCTTCCCATGCTGTCCTCTGCTTGCCCTCCCCTCCCTAAGCATCTCCTCCAGGATCATCCTCTGGATGCCATGGTCCAAGGACACTGAGCAGTCCCCTGAGGCGAGTGTTCTCAGGTCACCAAGAGCCAGGACAATACCACACACTCTGTCTTCCTGGTCTTCCACCCTGGCTCACTCTCCTCCTTTTAGCTAACACACATTAATTTTCCAGAAAAAGCAATTCATCACAGTACTTAGCTTAATGAGCCTTACTGTACATGGTCTGCCTGTAGTGATAATTTTGCGTATTTCCTGAGAAATTTTGTTAACGGGAAGATAYGTGACAAAACAAACATTTGTACAGCTTCCGAGCAGCTCATACACAAAGATGCTGCAAGTAAAACAATGGGAATGAGAATGAACCCTTTTGGCTCYAGCCCTCTCAGACATCCTGCGCACAGCTGACATACCTGTCTGCACTTGTTATCACTCTTATCAGTCTCTGGTGCCCACAGACTGACACCAGGTCTCAGGGGGTCAAGGGTATTCTCGGGTTCATTGGGACCACCAAAATCCCATGCACCAGACCCGCAGCTCCTCAACAGACACCAAGGGACCCTGGGGCTCAGTGTCCCCTCTGAGTGWCCCCCAAAATGTGTCCATCACCCCAGCAGGCCCCTCCTGGGTTGGGGACATGACACACCACCCAGAGCTGACCTAGAGTSTGGGCTTTGCCTGCTGCCATGTTTAAAGCACAGCAAAGGGTTTTCCCAGTTTTTGGCTTGCCCTACCGCAGTGTGTACCTGCTGCTGTGAACAGCATTCCTGGGCACAGGGACACGCACCTCACCTGAGGAGCAAAACACCTCAAACAGGAGCATTGCAGGGCTCAACTACATCACTCTGTCACTTTCTTCCATGCCCAGCTGCCAAGGCCAGCAGATCTCAGGAGTGAGGATTTATCAGCATCTCATCCCTCCCACTCCAGGACCGCAAGGGAGCATGCAAAGCAGCTTCCCTGCCCCAGTGCCTGTGAGACCAGGAATGCTCCGAGGGCAGCCACGGTGTTTGACCTGCCACAGCAGCTCTGCTACTTCCCACCCCCCAAAAAAATCAGCATTTCAATAATGCTGAAACCTGCCAAGCCCAGCCACAGCAGGCAGCTGCGTAGGCTGCGGACGCGCCACACCAAGTGGCACACGTGACAGCCCCACTCCCGACTGGAAGGGACAGAGAAGAGCTGAATTATTTATGTGACCCTTTTGGTTGAACAGAAGAGCTCGAAAGCACTTAGGGCAACGAAGAGGGTTAAGAAAGGGAAAGAAGATGGCATCTAAACAAGTAAATACATTCATCTCCAAGGTCTGTAGGGACTTCTGCAGCCGGGGGGTTGTGGAAAAGATGGAGACAGACAAGACCTGACCTGACCACAGCAACTGCGGTTGACTTCACTTTTGTGCCTCCAGGAGAGAAAGCCTAAGCGGCAACAGTATAGAATTAAGAGGAAGGGATGGAGTGAGGTCTGGCTGTGAGTCTTGGGGCACTGCTACAGATTTCACTGCCACAGGAAGGGAGAGGGTGGATCCACAGAGCGAGACCTGGAGCCAAATTTGCTTCCTCTCTCCTTTTATTTTTAACACACATCTCCCACAACTCCCACTGGCAGGAGGCAGCACTTGGAGCAGGGACTTGGCTGGCAGGAGTGGGGATTCAGCCACCTGAGGAGGACAGTGGCACAGCACAAACACACAAACATCACTAGAGAAATGCACCCACAAACAGCTGCTGGAGATGAGCAGGAGCACAGCAAGAAAGGGCCTCCAAAAAAAATGGGCCCTGTCAATGGCTGGGGCATTGGAACTGGATGGTTCCTTCCAGCCTAAACCAGTCTGTGATCCTATGACACCAGCACATTTCCCTCACTTCCTCCCACTCTCAAAACACCATTCATAATTATTYTACCATTTCGTGTCATATCGTGGAAATCCCAGTATTTCACTTAAACTGAGCTGTCAGCTCTGTGGTAGGATGGAGCACAATGGGACTCTCACAGTCCTGCATGTACACATCATCTCACTGGGGCTGCCGTAGGCAGCGTTGGAGAATAGGACCAGCTCCAGACCCATTCCAGATGGGCAGGAAAGATCACCCAGAGCCACAGTTGTGGCACCTTCAGAGAAGCAGCTGTAAACAAAGCTCTGCTCAGTTTCATACRAGGCATCCTGCATGGCCTGTCCTCAGCTGCTCTCCCCTTCAAGAGGACATGTTCCCTCTCTAAGTTAAATTTCTCGTCCTTGGCTCAGAGCAGGCCTGGGGGCACTACTCCCACAAGGGCACTGAATAAGCTCTAGCAAGTCTGATCTCAACCAGAGCTCAGGTTCAAAAAAAGGGCTGGGATTAGCATTTTSAATTTCAAGTACCGTTTTAAAAATCCCATTAAGACATGGAGCTCTTGTTCTGTACACTAGCGACCACCCTGCATCCTCTCCTCTGCTCCAATACCAGCTCTTTTTTTATTAATCCTTCTTTTTTATCATCCCAGCAGAATTCAGGCACTGTATTAACATGGAAAGAACCAACCCAGGTTCTTAATGAAGCAGCAGAGAGGAAACAAGTTCAAATGTTCTTGACTCTGTGTCCACTGCAGCATCTTGCTCCTCCCTGGCGTCTGCCACCACTGAGGGTGTAAATCCACGTCGCCTCACTCACTGCAGTCCTGCCAGGGGCACCCACTCAGATTCGGGGCATCTGGATGTTCAAAAGTATCATTCCTTCCCCAGGAGGCCCCAAGAAGAATGCTGCACCCTCAGCATGAGGCTGATGAATAAGGAGCAGCAGAAGGAGTGAGGTGAAAACACATTTTATTTTTCTTAAGGCATATTTAAAGGAATGGAGAAATTCTAAAATACTCCACGGCATCACTTCTCAGCCAGCACTGCCTGCCAAGAGGACATTCACGAGGTTTGTTTTTACTATTATTATTTAAAAGCCTATTTTCCAATCCCATTTCACAGCCTGCGCTGGTGGTGGAGACAGAGCCCCATGTTTGGGTGATTTCTACGCAGAGTGGGGAGGCAGCTCTTGGGGGAGCTCCTTCCTTCCCCAGCATCCACAGCCATCCCGGGCATCTCCAGTCACCCCTGCGCATTCAGAGCTGCCCAATCTCCCCAACAGCCACCCCACCATCCCCAACAGCCACCCCCTCAGCCCCTCGCCAGCGTCACCCCAGCTCTATCCTCCTGGTGTTTTTCAGACCAAACCAAACCCCCAGCCAGTGATCCTGGTTAGAGCTCTGATGCCCGATCAGCCCGGACACCCCAGTC